GACTTGATGTATATTGTGGTCTGGTCAACACAGACAGCCTGTGCCCTAGGCGCTCAGTGAGATCACCTCTTTCTGCCCCTGGGGTTTGAGGAGCACCTGGAGAGATTCCTGGGGAGCCCGTGTAACTGAGAACAAAGGCTTTCTTTCTGTGGAGCCCGTCACTGTCTCTCAAGGCAATGAGAAAGAAGCAAAGGAAAAAAATGCCACAAAAATCCACCGTGACAGGTGAAGCTGGGTCTTGCAAAACCAGATAGTGCATCTGAGTGTCAACACATAGATCAGCCCACGTGCTACCAAGATTGTAAAGTTGTTGACTGCCTGCCCTTCAGCCCAGGCCCCTTTCCCATTTTCTAAGAACTGAAGAGTGGAGTCGTGCCAGGATTCATCAGAATTCAGAACAACGAAGACCCTGGAGGTCCAGGCCATGAGAACCATTTCCCACATGGTCTGAGAGCACTGGTGCCCTGTGATGGAGTCAATAGTCCTGCTAATGGAGGGCGAATGAACAGTGGGCATCTTTCGATCCACATATACCTAGAAGTCAAGACACTCACACCAGAAGGGGAGGCTCAGGGAGGATGGAGGATCATTCCTTCACACAGGATTCTGAATTCATCTCATGGGAACCACAAACTTTGTACAGAGAGCTCTTCTCTAGTCTAAAGTATTGAGACTGTGGGGACCAAATATTTACAGGAGAAACTAATCAAGATTGAGAAAAGTCCAAAGTCCCATCACTCTTGAATAGTTAAGAGTTTCTTTGTAGACCAGCTATTTCTGGGGACTAAAGTGGGATGGGTAGTTTGTGATCTAGGTACAGGGGGTGAGTCCAGGCATGATGCCTGTTGTGGAGCTCCCAGAACCACAGGGAAATAAGAAATGCACATGGGCAAGGCCATCCAGCATGTGATCGCATGAAGACACATGAGAAGAGACGGGACATCATGGGCTGGCTTGGGATGGATGAAGAGGTTTTCATTTGGGGAGGAGCTCTGAGATGATGGGAGA